TGTGGTCAAATCTCAGTACCTAGGGGCACTCAATCCTACCTAAGATCCAGGTTGTGCATCATTGAGAAGCCTGGACAAAGTTTCTAGCCCACAATTCTTAAGGCCTGCCCGGGCTACCAGGTTTTATTAGCCTGGAGAACTGCCGAAATCGAAGGTGGTTTGAATTACTGCTTCTGTTCGGTGGGTATTTTAGTTCTTGAGATCCGGTAACAGCGATGTATAACTTGTAAACACAAACATGCAAGAAATTGTGGAGCGCTTTTCTAGCATGGGTGGGAGTAGAAACCCCAGTCTCTGATTTTACAAAGGAGTGAATTTATCAATCGAACTCACTAGTTGCCCTTGTACCGGCTCTTTCTTATTTTATTGCTTCGAGCTGGCGGCTCTAATGAAAATGAGCTTTCATATCGCGCTAATAGTATGGAGAGGAGGTAGGGCATGAGAAGCAAGACTAAATGTGTTTATATGGATCTCGCATTTTTTCATTTGAGCAGATGCGGCGGTCGGCATGTCTCATTATACCTACTAATTTGGGGAAATTATTTAGGTGGTTGGCGGTTCTGGTACTCAAAACTTTTCAGAACCGACAAACGTGTGCAATTCGCCTGATAGTATCTAGATAGCAAATTCGAGCGCGATCAACCCTATTCCCGTACGTTGTCGATTCATTGCCAGCCTGGCATTAGAGCTACTGTATGCGCACGATTCTGCGATCACACTCATCTTGTTCTTTATGACGTCACCTGAACGTGGTCACTTTTTCAAGCTTTTCTCGCGACGCTCGTTTGAGTGTTGCTTCGTTGTTTAACCTGCTAGGAAATCACAAAGGGTTTTTTCAAGCTATCGTGAGACGTCAAAAGTGGTGATGAGAAGCGGTCGGCAGGGCACGTTTCCACCGCGCGAGTCGTATTTTGATCGAAATGTTGGCTTTTATCCGAGGTGAGTTGGCAATGTTCGCTAGTGGGTAAATGATTGATGTGCTTGTTCCAGACGGGAAGACGACCGAAGTGTGCGCAATGCTGCGGATCCATATTCGCGCGGAAACCGTGTAGAGGCTGTGAGTTCTCTTTGCTCATTGTATTTTGGAGTTTTTTTTTTATCTCTGCATACGTTTAATGTGTTTCATGGCGGAGCAGTGATGGAATTAGTAAGCAGACATCTGTGATATCTTCATATGAACTGTCCTCGCACCTACCCCGCTTTTCTGGTCATTTTTTGC